ATGAGCGGGTTGCAGCACTGATCCTCGTTTTCACACCTCTGCATGGTGAAAGTTGTGAATTGACCTATCCTTTATTCATCCCAGGAGAAAATTGGACCTGTAACTCCAGAGTTATGGTTTGCTCAGGAGCAATCAAGAGTGGTTTATCAGAGAGGACTCCAACCTTGGCAACTTTAAGACTTGTGGACTTCAACTCCCAGAGTTCCTCAGTCAGCTGGCTGAGGAACTCTGGGAGTTGAAGTCCACAAGTCCACAAGTTGAAGTCTTAAAGTTGCCAAGGTTGGAGACCCCTGGCTTATCAGTACCCAGGATTGATCAGATCATTCCTATCAGATGGTAGTGTTCATAGAATAGAATCTTAAGGCTGGAAGGAAACTTGGAGGTCTTCTAGTCCAATCTCCTTCCCAGGGCAGGAGTCCTTATTCTACCCAGGACAAATGACCGTCCAATCTTTTCTTGAAGACCTCCAGTGAGTTGTTTCTGAAGGCAAGCCGTTCCACTGATCATCCTTCTCACTATCAGGAAATGTCTCCTCAATTCCAGGTTGGATCTCCCTCTGAAGAATTTCCACCCGCTGCTTCTCGTCTTGCCGTCGGGTATTACGGAGAATATGTTGAGGTCCTCTTCCCTGGGACAATTCTTCAAGTATTGGAAGATGCTGTCATGTCTCCTCTATGTGTTCTCTTCCTCAGGCTAAACATATCTGGTTCCCTCAACTGTCCATCCGACAATTTAGCCTCCAGATCCTTGATCGTCCTCATTGCTCTTCTCTGCAGTCTTTCTAGGGTCTCGGGATCTTTGAAGAGATGTTCTTCCTCTGTGGGAAGACGAGAGCTCCTGTGTCACTTCACTCTGTTTGCTACTGAGCATCTTCACCAGGTGCAGGTTTCAAAACCTGTCACTACCGGTTTGCTTGTGGGCGCACGCGTGCTTGCGTGCACACACAACGCTTCTGCACATGCGCAGAAGCGTCTGGGCGGGCCGGTGGAGCCTCCCGCCACCGCCGCTACCGGTTGAACCTGTAGCAACCCACCACTGATCTTCACCTAGGATGCAAGCAGGAAGAGAGAGAGAGAGAGAGAGAGAGAGAGAGAGAGGGAGGGACAGAGGGAGGGACAGAGAGAGAGAGAGAGGGAGGGAGGGGAGAACTTAATTGGAATTGCAGGCCTGTTGATGAACCTACCCACTTCCCTTGGTTTTTCCTTGGTCGAGTCATTAAGATGGATTCTTTAACCAGGCTATTAAAGTTGAATGTTTTAGTCTGATTTGTTGATATCTGTTTCACACATGTACAAATGGGCATTATTCTATGGAATAAAAGTCAGCTAATTGATTGATCGTCAATCAGTCGATATTCCTGTTCTGAAATTGTTCCCGTTTCCTTTAGCCAAGATCTTTCTGTCCTTCAGTCATGGCCTCTGAGTATTTATAGCTCTATCTATTCTATATCATCGATCGATCGATTGATTATATGCCTTAAAAGTTAGTCTTACCAATCACATTAAGTAGATTTTTCACCAGGGTGATTTGTCCCTAACCTGGTCTTTTAAGTCTTCCAATGGTGCACCAAGACAAATTCCTTGTGTGTCCAATCACACCTGGCTAATAAAAAATTCTATTCTATTCTATTCTATTCTATTCTATTCTATTCTATTCTATTCTATTCTATTCTATTCTATTCTATTCTATTCTATTCTATTCTGAGTTCATCTACCTTGCTCCTCCTCCTCCTCCTCCTCCTCCTCCCTCCTCCTCCTCCTCCTCCTCCCCCTCCCTGCAAAATCCCATTCCCTTCTTCCACTCATGACGTTGCCCAGTTGGGTCATTAAACGTCTGCAAGAAATCAACATTTGCACAGAGTACCAAGGACCTCACAGGTGAACCCTGAGTTACAAATATTCTCTTCTATCAGTAATTATTTGTTTTGTTGACTATTCTAAAGTCTTCTCAAGTCTTCTCCAGCACCCAAGGTGATAGGCATCTATATTCTTCCCATCCTACTTCTTCAAAGTCCAACTTTCAGTTGGCGGTCAATAGTATCTGTATTGCTCTGTTTCACTCACTTTCTTTCTCTGACTTCATTAACTGCTTTTCCAATTGTGCAACTTCCAGAAATACTATCTCTACAAACAGTATTTTGTAAACTAAAGATAATTGCTGGTTATGCTCACCTATTCACAAAGTATACATATTTTTTGTTATTTGCTATTCGCATGTCCTTGGGGCAAAACATTATTACTAAACATGCAAGAAGGGCTTTCCATTCATTAGCAAAGACCATACCAACAATGTGGATTGTTGCTTTTTACTGCTCAAACTTTGCCAAATATAACTTGTTCAAACAAACCTTGGTTTAATGTACATGGAGATTCTCAATGATCCAGGCCAGGGTTGTCCCACAAATGCTTTATCAAAAGGCAATTGGACTTTGTTTTTTCCTTGAAGATGTTTCACTTCTCTTCCAAGAAGCTTCTTTAGTTCTTCAGAAATGAAGAAGCTTCTTGGATGAGAAATGAAACTTTCGGAGCAGTTTGGCAAACTGGTGGTTGGAAGAAATCATTAGGGCAGAGAACCAGTTGTTAAATTACTTGGATCCCACCACTTGTGTAGGGTCTCCTGTTTGAGTGGGGTGGGGTTGGATTAGATGACATACAAGGTCCCTTCCAACACTGTTATTCTATTCTATTCTACTCTATTCTATTCTATTCTATTCTATTCTGTAAATTCTATTCTATTCTATTAATTATATTCTATTGATTCTATTAATTCTATTCCATTCCATTCCGCTCTATTCTATTCTATTCTGTAAATTCTATTCTATTAATTCTATTCTACTCTATTCTATTCTGTAAATTCCATTCTATTCTATTCTACTCTGTAAATTCTATTCTATTCCATTCTATTCTATTCCATTCTATTGTATTCTGTAAATTCTATTCTAGTAATTCTATTCTACTCTACTCTATTCTGTATATTCCATTCTATTCATTCTATTCTACTCTATTCTATTCTGTAAATTCTATTCTATTAATTCTATTCTATTCTACTCTGTAAATTCTATTCTATTCTATTCATTCTATTCTATTCTATTCTACTCTATTCTACTCTTTAAATTCTCTTCTCTTCTATTAATTCTCTTCTATTCCATTCCACTCTATTCTGTAAATTGTATTTTATTCTATTAATTCTATTCTATTCTGTAAATTCTATTCTATTCGTTCTATTCTATTCATTCTATTCTACTCTATTCTACTCTTTAAATTCTATTCTATTCTATTCTATTCTATTCTATTCTATTCGAACGAAACCAACAAAGAACAAACCATGATAGATCAAATCATGGTTCAATACTAACAGAGGCAAATCACACTGAACAGGGCCACTAGAGCAACCTGCAGGCACAGCCTGGAAGCCTTTAAAACTAAGGGAGGAGGGGCTTCTGGGCATGAGCAGAGCGCCTCTATTTTAACCAGCTCCAGGCCCAACATGGCTGCCGGCGGAGAGGCGACGGAGACTACGTCTCCCGTGAGGCCTCGGGCGGGAGGGGACGGTGGCGTCGTGCAGCGGGGGTGCGGCGGGGGGGGCAGAGGGAGTGGAGAGGGAGGGTCCCGGCTAGCTCGGCCCCGCCCCCCCGCCGAGCGCGATTGGCTGCGGCCGGTTGTCGGTGGTGACGGCGGGACGCGTCGGGGGCGGGGCTTGTGTGCCGGCGGCTCTCTTGGTCAGTCGGTGGCCGGGAGGCGGCGGCGGCGGAGCGGGAGCCGCAGCGCTGCCGGGGCCATGGGCTGCCGGGCGGGGGCCGCCGCCCCTCGCCGCGCCCGGTGACCACCCCGCCGGCCCGGGGCGAAGATGGCGGAGAGGTAGGAAAGACCCCCCCTTCCTCCCCCCTGACCCCTTATGGGGACCCCCCCCCGGGATGCAGCTGCAGCCCCCCCCTCCCCAAGCATCCTTGAGGGGAGGGGGTCCCCTCCAGCAGCAGCAATACCCCCCTGCCCTTGCGCTGCCTGCTTCACCCCAGCTCCCATCATCCGCAGCCTTGGCTCCTTGCAGGAACCCCCCCTCCCCTCTTTCCCCTCCTCTCTAATTGGGGCTGGGGGCGTCCAAAATCCTCCTCCCCTTTCCGCCCCTTCCTCCCCCTTTGGGACGAGGCTCCCACCCCCAGCCAGAGCCCCACCCAGGATTGGGGGGGGTCCAATCCCTCCCTTGCACCCCAATCTTTCTCCTCTCCCCCCCCTTCCAGCTGACCTGCCAAAAGGGGGGTGGGGGTGGCAGGACCCTTTAGGACAGGACCTTCTCGATGCCCCTGGGGTGCCCCTTTTCTTCCTGCTTGTGGGGGGGGAGTCCATATATTGCTCCCCTATAAGACCCCCCCCACTCCATGTTACTCCCTGGGGGTCATTCTGCAACCCCCTCCTCCTCCTCCTCCATCTGACCTTCCCCCCCTCTCCCTCCTCCCTTTCCCTGGGGGTCTCTTTGGAGGGACCCCCCCCCCTTGGCATAGCACCTGCTTTCACCCATCCCTTTGCAGCAGGTGCCGTTTCCTCCGTCTCCCCTCTTCCCACCCTGCCAGATTGCTTTGCTGTAATGTCTTGGGGGGGGGGAGGGAAGGAGAAGAAGAATCAGGCTTCAAGGGTGGGTGGGTGGGCTATTTAAGGGGTGTCTTTCCCCCCCCAGCAAGAAATAGATTTTGGGGACGAGGGATGGGGGGAGAGGCGAATTGCAAAGGCTGGCATGCATTGCTCCTGCGGCCCTGGATTTTTTTATTTTTTTGCAAGCCTTGATGGCTGTTGCCTGGTGGGGTGGGGGCTGTGGGGCTGGTTGTTTATTGAGGGGGTGGGGGTCTTTTTCCTTGGGGGGCTGAGGGGTGTGTAGGGCGGATGGAAGCTCTTGCGGAGATGTGGAAAGCATGGAGGCTGCAGGGTGGAGGAAGGCGGGGAAGTGGGGGGGGGAGAGGAGTGGGGAAGGAAGGAGCTTGTGAAAGGGTGTGTGTGGGGGGGGGTTTGCCTTGCTCAGATACCCCGTATCGTCGGAAGGAGTTCTGAAGGACGACGCCGGAGAGCGGGCACGCCGTGCACGACGGACCTTCGAGAAGGTGGCACTGTTTCTCCGCCGGGAGAGGCGAATGTGGGCACCTGCCTTCTGCGGCTCGGGTGGGCTGCAGCGGCCTGGTGGTGCAGTGAGAGGGCAAAGGTTGGCATTCGGGTGGTGTGTGTGTGTGTGTGTGTGTCAAGGCCGGGTGTGTGCGAGGCTTAGCCCGGAACACACTCAGGAGCACCCAAGGGCGAGGATTGGTATGCAGCTGGCACGTTTCTCTCCCTTTCCTTCCAAGGCTCCAGCTTTGCAAATCCCTCGCCTGCTCTCTCTCTCTCCCCATCTCTCTAGATTTTTTTTTTGGGGGGGTGGAAGGGGTGGTGGAAATCGTGCTTGGCCCTCTTAAACCCACCCCCCCTTCCCCAGCAGACTCGTTCTGATCTTGGCTTGTGTGCGAAAGAGCCAGGTGGCTTTGCTTGGAGATTCGGTGGCTCTCCGGCCAATTGACACCGTATCACCTCTGGCCCGTCGGAGCTTCGGAAGGTGCCAGTTGGATGGCAGCCGCTCCGTTTCTTGGCGCTCTCGGATGCGGGGCACATCCTGTGTGGTTGTGCGGGAGCAAGTCTGGCTAAATGTGGTCCTGTTAGTTGTTGCTTTTGAGCGTGAACTGCTGTAGCAAGATGCTGCCTCGGGTCTGCATCTGTGCTGTCGGATGCTAATTGCCCGGGGATGGAAATGGGGGGCGGGGGGCAGAGCGAAAACGACACCCCTGCAGTTTGCACACCGAGGGTTTAAATTTAGCAAGATGTGGCTTTGATTTTAGGTATTGAGGTGGGGGGGTGGGAGAATCTGTCCCCAGTCCAACTTTTCTCTTTGCTGCATCAATTATTCACAAATGCGTTGCCTAACCTTTTACAGCTCGTTCTCGCTCTCGACAGCGGCACTGGGAAAAGTGACTTACGGCCATTTTTCGCCCTTAATGACCATGGCAGCATCCCCATGGTCACGTGATTTACATTCAGCTGACTCACATTAATGACAGCTCACCGTTTTTCACAGTTACGACCGTTCCAACATCCCCATGGTCGCGGGATCGAAATTCAGACCTTTGGCAAAACTGATTCAGATTTATGACGGTTGCGGCGGCCTCCCCAGGGGCCACGGGATCCCCTTTTGCGACCTTCTTGCAAGCGAAGCCAGAAAGGTCGTAAAACGGGGCAAGATTCACTTCGCGACTGTCTTGCTTAAGGATGGAAATTTTGGGCTCAATTGTCATAATTAGAGGACTACCTGTATTCATTAAAAAAAAATTTTTTTTTTTTTGGGAGACTGTCATGCCAGGATTATTAACTTGGATGGATCTTTAGCAATTTTTGTTTGCTCTTGTTTGTGGGATTGGAGCAAAAGGGATGAGAGAGATTTTGTGGTACCGATTTAGTGGGGAAGGGGCCGTGGCCCACTCAAAAGTTTTCCTCCCAAGTTTTCGGGCTTCATGCAAAGCAGAAGGTCAAAGGTCGCTTGATTGCTGAGTTTGTGGTCGCTAAAGGTGAGTTTGAATTGAAAAGGACCCTGTCCTTAAAATTTTAAAGGTACAGTTGGAGATTTTGGGGTCCTTGGATTTTTATGCAAAGATTAAAAAAATGGAGATTGAAAGCAGCTCTTCTCTGCCATTTCATCATGATGAACAATGTGTCTCATACAGATAGTCCTCAAGTTACAACGGTTTGTTTAGTGACCGTTCAGATTTACAACAGCACTGAAAAAAGTGACTTACGTTCGTTTTTCACACCTACGACCATTGCAGCATCCCCGTTGTCGAAATTCAGTCTCTTGGCATACCCACTCGTATTTATGACGGTTGTAGTGTGGTGTTGGGGGTCATGAAATCTCCCTTTTGTGACCTTTTGTCACTGGAGAAGCCAGATTTACTTAACAACCATGTTACTCACTTAACAAGTGCAGTGATTCACTTAACAACTATGGCGAGAATGGTCGTAAAATGGGGCAAAACTCACCTAACAATCATCTCGCTTAGCAGCAAAGGAATTTTGTGCTCAGTTGTGGCTTTAAGTGGAGAAACACCGGTACTATGTACATACAGGTAGTCCTCAACTTACAACTGTTCATTTAGTGACCATTCGAAGTTACAACGCCACTGAAAAAAGTGACTTACGACTGTTTTTCAGACGACTATTCCAGCATCCCCCGTGGTCACGTGATTTACATTCGGATACTTGGCAGCTGACTCACATTTATGACAGTTGCAGCATCCCGGGGTCATGTGATCTCCTTTAGCGACATTCTGATGAGGAATGTCAGTGGGGAAGGCAGATTCACTTAACAACCGCTTTACTAATTTAACTGCAGTCATTCACTTAACAATTCTGGCGAGAAAGGTCATAAAATGGGGAAAAACTCATTTTGGGCTCAATTGTGGTCATAGGTTGAGGACTACCTCTGTGTGTGTGAGTGTGTGTGTGTGTGTATACAGGTAGTCCTCAACTTACAGCAGTTTGTTTAGCGACCGATCAAAGTTACAGTGAAAAAAGTGAATTTACGACCATTTTTCACACGTACGACTGTTGTAACATCCCCGTGGTCACGTGATCAAAATTCAGACACTTGGCAACTGACTCATATTTACGACGGTTGCAATGTCCCGTGGGTGAGTGTCACGGGATCCCTTTTTGGGATCTGCTGACTAGCGAAGCCCACGGGGAAAGCCAGATTCACTTGGACAACTGTATTATTCACTCAACAGCTCTGGCAGGAAAGGCCATAAAAAAACGGGGCAAAGTTCACTTAAGTGTTTCACTTAGCAACGGAAATGTTGGGCTCAGTTGTGGTCGTAAGCCGAGGACTCCCCGTGTAACATCATGCAAGCATGGCGGGCGCCCATTGGCAAAGAGAAAACTCTGGACAGTATAAGTTGGAAACATGCGGACGAGGTCTTCATCCTGCAGTGGATAGGATGATGATGATGATTGATGATGGTGGCCCTTCCTTTCAGTCTTCTCCCTATTTCTAATCATTTCTAAACTCCAGACCTTGGATGGTCGCAACCTCAAGCCACCATTGACCAGCATTTCCAATCTCCTCCTCTGCTTTTGCTTGAAGCAATTTGAATTTCTTGACGATGGACCTTAAAATGCCAGCACGCGGATTCTATCCTTCTTATAGCTTTCCGGTAAATATCAAAAGAAGACGCAGCATTTTTCCTCCTCCTCCTCCTCCTCCTCCTCCTCCTCCTCCTCCTCCCCCTCCTCCTCCTCCTCCTCCTCGGTCTGTTTTTCTTCCAGACTTTGAGGCTGAACCAGCTACCGTGTTTTCCCGAAAATAAGACCCTGTCTTATATTTTTTTGAACCCCAAAATAAGCGCTTGGCCTTATTTTCGGGGAGGTCTTATTTTTTATTTTTTTAATTTGATTTATATGCCGCCCTTCTCCGGAGACTCAGGGCGGCTTACAATGCGTTAAGCAATAGCCTTCATCCTTTTGTATATTTATACAAAGTCAGCTTATTGCCCCCACAAACTGGGTCCTCAATTTACCTACCTTAGAAAGGATGGAAGGCTGAGTCGACCTTGAGCCTGGCGAGATTCGAACTTACTAATTGCAGATAGCTGGAGTTAAATTACAATGCATTAGTCTGCTGAGCTATCCAGGCTCCTGGATTTTGGGGCGCGTGGAGCAAGATGGGGCTCCTCTTGCCGTCTTACCTGATTTCCAGCTCTGTGTTTAAATATTTTCAGGGAGGGCTTATTTTCGGGGGGAGGCTTATTTTAGCGCATGAGCTCAAAAACCGATTGGGCTTATTATCAGGGGATGTCTTATTTTTGGAGAAACAGGGTATCTGGAATCTTAGCTGTAGAAGAAATAATAGCTGAGATGGAGACCCCCCAAACTCCCAATTCGTTGTGGACAGGCCTTCTCCAAATCAACGGTTGAGGAACATCTGCAGAGCTTTTCTGAGGAGCCCGTGGTAGAGGCAGCGTTGAAGGAAGAAGAACTTCTCTCCTGAGGTGGTGGAGGCCGACGTGAACTATTGTTTGATTTGCCAAAGTCCAGTTCTTGTGGAGAAGTCATCCAGCTCTCTATAAGTGGTGCTCCGTAGATCAAGAGAAGAACAGATGCGGCTTTCGGGACATGGAGGTCTCGTTTTGTGGGTCTCTGTGGAGTTTTGAACGGTGGAAGAGAGGTATTGGGCCAGTGGAATCACGTCGGAAGGAAGTCCCACGGAACGGAATACGCTACAAATTTGTTGTTACTCTGCGTTCCTCAATCTGCTTTCTTGCGTGGAGGGACCCCCGTGATAAAGCTTGACTTCCGGTGATTTTTCATGTGACATTCCTGTAACGGCCTTACAAAAATACGGATCGCTGCCTTTTCATTTTTTTATCTCACTTTTATTATTGTTTATAAGTAACTCGAGGTAGCGAATGTACCTAATACCCCTTCCTGTTTCTGTTTTTCCCACAACAACCTTGAGCGAGAATGACCAAGTCACCCAGCAGCTTTCGTGCCTAAAGTGGGACTAGAACTCACCATCTCCTGGTGATTGGCCCAGAGTAACCCAGCAGTTCTCATAACAAAGGCGGGACTAGAACTCACCATCTCCTAGTGATTGGCCCAATGTCCCCCAGCCAACTCTCATAGTCATGCTTTGGACTAGAACTCACCATCTCCTAGTGATTGGCCCAATGTCCCCCAGCCAACTCTCATAGTCATGCTTTGGACTAGAATTCACCATCTCCTGGTGATTGGTCCAGAGTAACCCAACAGTTCTCATACAAAGGCAAGACTGGAACTCACCATCTCCTGGTGATTGGCCCAGAGTAACCCAGCAGTTCTCATAACAAAGGCGAGACTAGAACTCACCATCTCCTAGTGATTGGCCCAATGTCCCCCAGCCAACTCTCATAGTCATGCTTTGGACTAGAATTCACCATCTCCTGGTGATTGGCCCAGAGTAACCCAGCAGTTCTCATAACAAAGGCGGGACTAGAACTCATCATCTCCTAGTAATTGGCCCAAAGTAACCCAGCCTGCTCTCAAGCCTAAGGCAGGGCCAGAATTCACTATCTCCTAGTGATTGACCCAAAGTCAACCAGTTGGCATTCATGCCTAAGGCAGGACTAGAACTCACAGTCTCCAGATGAT